ACGCCATGAATTCACCTTTTCTGGTTCCCAGGGAGTTGTCTGTACACAAGAACTCTCTGCCAAAAGGCTGTGTATGGAGGAAATGACCTAACACAAAGGTAGAAACTTCAAGAGAACTAGACAGAGTGCTACAGCCTCAACCCAGTGGGAATGGATAGGGCATCTGGATGGTTCTATAAGCCTGGAAGAATGAGGAGGGCAGAAGTGATCAGCACAAACAACCGGGATGTGTTGCAGGACAGAAAACAGATGTCACAGGCAGAGAGACCGGGTACTGCTGGGGAGGGCACATAGAGGGCAGAGGACATTATTTGTGCCCTTAGTAAAGATATGTGTCTTGGGAAGGACACATCACTTCCCAGGGTGGAGTCCTGGGAAGTGATGAACAGGGATGTCCTGTCCCAGGCTCTTGAGCCCCTGCAGATGGAAACAGTCCTGGTTAAGCACTGAAGTAAGGCACCGAGAGCCAAGTGCCTCTTGGTCGGGAGGGGAGAAGAGCATCTAGACGCCCTTTTGTCTTGAGAAGGGCCCTCTTTATTGGAATTGGCAGTGGAGCTGAAAGCCCCAGCATCTCCTGTTGCTGGGGTGACAGGAGGCAAAAGGAAATGCAGCAAGTCTGATGGACAAAGAGGAAGAGAAAGCCAGGCGAGGTCCTATTTCCAGGGAATGAACAGGAAAGTGAGCACCTGTAGTCAGCGTTCGTTCAACCAGCATTAACTGAGCACCTGCTATGTTAAGTGCTCACAATACGACAAGCTCCACGGAGCTTACAGAACTGAAATACCACTAGAAATCCAAAGAATAATGAATACATTCCAACTCGTGTCATTAGCCAAGACACATATCTTTACTAAGGACACAAATAATGAGTGTGAGAAGAAGCTTTAAACCATGTCATTTCCCTAAAAGCCAACTCTGTCCTCGAAGACCATGGTCACTCTGCTCCCAGGTTCCCCCATGCGCTTGCTCTTCCTCCACACTTTATTTATAATCCCTTTGCTTCTACCATGACCATCATTTTTCACAGCTCTTCTTTATTCCTCCAAACTTTCTCTAACATTTATCTGCCCTTAGCTCCAGGGCCTTTCTGAAGTTTTGCAAAAATGTTCTTTTATTATTCACTTGTGAACACAAGCAATAGTAAAAAAGAGGAGAAAAAAAGAACGAGAAGTGTCCTATTTTTAAAGTTTGAATTGTTAAAGTTGCCTAAGATTTGGGGGGGGGGAAAGTCATCATTAATTTTACAATATTAAAAGAAAATATGTTTTCACCCATAATCTAGAGCCCTTTAACCTTGCAGTAGTCTTCATTTCTACGTTCCCTTCCAACATTTATCCATAAATCTAGTCTAGAACCTGGTACATAATAACAAGGAGGTATATACAATATTATTTTGCATGGTTTTTTGAACATTTATTTCATAAACACTACTTTTATATAAACTTTATATTTATGAATTTAATAGCTTCAAAACCTTCCCTTCAGTTGTGTGATGATGACATGTTTAACCACTTACCTAATAGACACTGAGAGCATTTTAAGCGGTTTGGCTATCGTACTTCATGCTGCTGTGCCATTTTTAGTGCAGCTTATTCCCTCTTTTGTACTGACTTCCTCGGGATGACTTCCAGGGGCAGAACACCAATTTCAAGGCTAAGATGGTATTGTTGCTCTCACTGTGTGCCGCTACCTTGCTTCCCAAAATGACAGCATTGGAGACATGAATGTCTCTTTAAATCAATAGTCCAATGGCAGCGTCCCAAACTCCACTTCCTCCAGAGGACAACCCATCAGAATTAATAAGCATGTCTACTTTGCTGAAAGTTCAATGCCTCAGGAATAAAAGATGCATCCCTTTTCCCCCCTACCTGTTCTTCTAACCCTGATGCTGGCTTCTGCCCAAAGAGGTAGCCACCCGTCTTCTGGGGCAGGGTTGGTTTCTACCCTGAGCACGAAGCCCAGGAATCCCGGCCACAAGGAAGGCAGGGTGGGCCTATTTCTGCAGCTGCCTCCCTGCAACTCTGACGCAGACCCATGTTGGTAACAAAGTCTGCTGGAAGCCCTCACCCTTTGTAGCTCCAGCTCCTGCTGCCTCCTTCCTGTCAAACCATCTGGAAATCTTTCTCATTTTTGACTGCGAACTTGCAACCTCTAGCCCGTCTGCCTGCCTGGGCTCAAAACCCAACGCACTTCATTGCTGAGAATGATCTGTGTCTTCTTCTCTTTGCAGGTTCATCAAGGGCTAAAGATGTGTTCCTCTTTCCTGCAGATGACCTTCCTGCATGGGGATTCTGGGGGTTGGTGACACATTCCCCACAGCACAAGGCCCTCCTGCCATCCCTGGGGCCCCAGACCATGCTGTCACCAAACTGGGTGTAGTGGGTGTGCTGAGTGTCTTTCATTTGTCTCCCGATCTTTTCCCTATCCTGTCCTCCCCATTTGCCCCAGAAGGCCACCCGTATGGGCTATTGCTACAGACTTCCTGCCCTCCCTTCTAGCTAGGCTCAGCCAATGGGAATCCCAGCAGGGGAGCAGAGAGAGAAAGGAGGGGTTGGTCCTCCCAGTCTTGCTTCCCAACCCCCAACTTGGCTGACCCCTCAGTGGAAGGTCAGAGCCCCAACTGAGCAGTCTTTGCTGGGCTCTGGTAAGTGTGCCCTCCATTTGCCTATGACAGTTCCCCCACTGAAAGCTTACAATTCAGCTGTTTTTAGTACAATCAGAGAGTGGTATAAACATCGCCACAGTAGAAGTTTAAAATATTTTCATCACCCCCTCTCTTGACCAAGGGGACCCCAGAGAAAACTTAAAACTGAGCTGCTGGCCATGAGGAGGAGGGGAGGTTGGACATGTTTCATTACACCCCCTCCCTTTTGGAATTACTCTTTGTAACAATAAGATACTAAATAATTAACAGGACCTAAGGCCATGCAAGGCAATGGTTAAACCACACCTGCAGGCCATCAATTTACTTAGGTATATGTCTAGTAGCTTGTCTCTAATTAACAGGCTTCCTCATCTTAACTTGAAACATTCCAAACCTTTAGACAAAGCTTCATCTCTTTGACCAATTACAAATCAAAGAATCTTTAAACCCACCTGTTCCTATAAGCGCCCCACAAGGCGTCCTGCCTTGTTGGGCCAAACCAATGTACAACTGAATGTATTGATTTATGATTTCATGTGTGATTCCTGTCTCCATGAATGTATAAAACCAAATCGTAACCCGACCACCTCCAGCACATTTTCTCAGGACCTCTTAGGGCCATGTGCTCTGGGCCACAGTCACACATATTCAGCTCAGTATAAACCTCTGTAAATTACTTACAGAGTTTGTTGTTTTTGTTTTTGTTTTTTTTTCTTAACAAAGAGATACTGAAAGGAACGGCAAAAGCTTTATATTTTGTTACCTTTCATGACACTTTCCCCCGGCTTTTGAACAAGGGACCCTGAATTTTAAATTTTCTCTGGTCCCCACAAATTACATAGCCAGACCTACAGCAGGAAACAAATAAAAGCCTCTTCCCTGGGGAGGTCTAGTGAGGGGCAGCAAACATAAATATGTGAATAAATAATATACAATATAATGCTTGCTATTAATAGTTCTGTGCAGAAAACCAAAAAGGCCAGGATGACTAGAGCCAGTTGGCTAGAGCTCACACCCGTATATACACACACACACAGAACTAGAAAGATGTGACCATTATAATTTTTTTCTTTACCTCGTTGACAACGCCCTTCTTAGTCTAGAAATGTTGCTGTCAAGTAAGCTTGCCACTCTTTCTTTACCACGACAGATGAAAGTTATCTTGTGCAGCTATTAAAGTTAAGATTTTTCTTAGATCTGGGAATTAAATGGTATATAACCTTTGAGCGACGGGAAGAAGGCCTTTGGCTTTTAGCAGCTCCAGCAGAAGAGCTACAGAGTCTGCTGCACGTTTCGGAGAAAACATCCCCGTGCTGCCGTGCGGAGACTAGTCTGGAGGGAGGTGGGAGGCCACTGAGCGAGGCGGGGTGCGGTGGAGGCCGAGGCGGGGTGCGGTAGAGGCCGGAGGAGCTTGAGACCAGCTCAGGGTGGACGGACGGCGCTGCCACCTCGCAGGCCGGGAGGACTGCCCGAGACCCAGGTATAGGGGGCGAATCAAACGTTCGATTTCGAGCCTTTAAGTTTGTTTCCTCCCAGTGGAGACGCCCCGTAGGCAGGTGAACACTCAGGCTGGGAACTCAGCAACTTTGCGTGAGCACCTACTATGTGCCGGGCATCGTGCGGACCGGCCGCGTCTGGCTTCTGTGAACTAAAATCCTCAACCCCTACCGGCTGACTGAATGGACCCCCTCGTGGCCAGAGGAATATTCAAGGGCAAAGTTGCCTGCCAGGAGGAGGGAGGTCAGACTGGCCTTATCATGCCCCCCTCCCTTCTTGGAGACTTCCTTTGTAACCCATTAATAGGCCTGAGGGTATGCAAGACAAACCTGCAGGCCTTCTATTTGCAACAAATGGTGGCTTACCTCTGGTAAACAGTTTATGTTAAAACATTCCACCTCTTTAGACAAAGCTTCATGTCTTTAGCCAATTACAATCTAAAGAATCTTTAAACCCACCTATAACCTGTAAGCCCGCGCTTCGAGATGGCCCTCCTTTTTGGGCCAAACCAATGTATGCCTCCCACACATTGATTGATGGCTTTACCCATAACCCTTGTCTCTAAAATGTATAAAAACCAAACTGTAACCCAGCCACAGCGAGTCCACTTGCCCAAGGCCTCTTGGCACTGGCTCCGGGTCATGGTCCTCAAATTTGGCTCAGAATAAATCTCTTTAAAATTATTTTACAGAGTTTGGCTTTTTTTCCGTTAACACTTCTTTGTGTTCCACAGCAACTTTTATTATTTAAAAACGTATTATATGGAAGTAAGTTTTCTGCGTACTGCGTGTCTTCAAGAAGCGCTCTCAAAGAGGCAACAAACCCCTCCCTTCCACGCGCCCCCAACGCGGCTTCCGGCCAGGTCCTCCAGAGCACCGAGAGCGGCGGCCAGAGCGGCGGCGCCTCGCCTCTCAGCCGCAGCGCGGGCTGACGGCGCCCCGGAAGTGACGGCGCATCGGCGTACGGGCGCTTGGCGGGCGACGGCGGCTGTAAGCGTCATCGCGGGCGCGACGCCCCCAGGGGACAGTCTGGAGATCGGCTGTCGTTAAGGTGCGGCGGCGAGACCGGCTGGGAAGATGCCAGTGGCGGTGATGGCGGAAAGTGCCTTCAGTTTCAAAAAGTTGCTGGATCAGTGCGAGAACCAGGAGCTCGAGGTAGCCATTTGCGTCACGTTGGGACAAACCGCGGGGTCGCCTCTGGTCCCGGGGCGGCACCGGTTTCCAGGGTAACGGGGCCTGGGGCCCGCGGGGCTTTGGCGCGCGCGGCGTGGGCGCGGGAGGTGGACGTGTGGCGCCCGGGCTGCCGCGGCCTGCTCTGACAGCGAGGGGTCCTGGACCGGTTTTCCCGAACTCGCTAGGAGCTTTATTTGTCCTCAGCTTGTGAGCCCGAAAACCCTGGGTGTCTTTGCTCTAACACCCGCTGATCCGCTAGACTAGACATCTTTCCTTCCTGTGCTCGGGGTGGAAGGGGACAGTAATGTGGTTTTATTGGAGACCTTTGTGTCTCCGATAAAAGACACACCCATACACACAGAGAACAAGAAAGATGTGACCGTTGTAACCCTTTCTTAAATCACATCGCCCTTCTTAGTCCCGTAATGCTATCAAGTAAGCTTGCCGTAAAGCAGCAAGATAAAAGTTATATTGCAGCTATTAAAGGTGAAATTTTTGTTAGGAAGGCACTTAAAAAGCCTTTGCAACGTTAGTGTAAAAAGTAACTAAAAGAGACAACAGCTGGAAGAAGCTCACTGGTAGACACTTAATTTGTTGTTTTCCAATTGAGTCAAACCTGAATGAGGAGAGAAATGTCTTTGTATGTCAGTTGTGGTGATTTTCTGTCTCTTAGTCGTTTACCGTGATACTCGGTATGCTTCATGTAGTGGCAGAATCAGACTGCTTTAGGAATCTGTTTAAGCTGTTTGTTTCTTAGAATAGTAAGAGCACTTAAATGAGAATTTGAGAACTGGAAAAGGGAATCCACTTAAATGTTCTTGTGTATGTAAAGAAACTGAGGCCCCAAGGGAGATAAATCACAGCTGATGACAGATCTAAACTTTCTACTCTGGATTTTAGTGTTTGATACTTCTTAAAGCTATTCCTACATCTGTAATAGGACTGTAAGATAGCCTTGCTTTTTTGGTTAGCATTAATCAAATGTTCTTTTTTAATGAAAGTATAAATGAGTTTTGTTTTTGTCATTTCTTCCCGCCCCCTTATTTGGCCTTCTAGGCTCCTGGAGGAATTGCTACACCCCCAGTGTATGGTCAGCTTCTGGCTTTATATTTGCTCCATAATGACATGTAAGTACCTTTAACCTAAAGCCAACTGCAACAGGTTCCTCGGGGTTATATGGAAATCATTCTGCCTTGAAGCAGCAACACTAAAGCACAGGCGCAATGAGCTACTTCTTTTGTCATAATGCTTATTACATCTATTTCCTACTGAATCATAGCTTAATGAATTGATTTGTTTTACATACTCTTTCTGGGAAACATTTAAATTTATTGTGAGAAACTGTAATGTCAGTAAATTCCTTTACTTCCATTGGCCTTTCTCTTTTTTGCCTTTTAAACTTTTTTTTTTAATTTTAGCATATTATGGGGGTACAAGTGTTAAGATTACTTATATTGCCCATGTCCCCTAACCCCCTCGAGTAAGAGCTTCAAGCATGTCCATCCCCCAACGTTGCACATCTTACTCGTTGTGGTTGTATATACCCATCCCCTCCTCACCCCCTCACCCTCCTGACACCCGATAAATGTTACTCCTATAAGTCCACTTATGTGTTGATCCGTTAATACCATTTTGCTGGTGAGTACATGTGGTGCTTGTTTTTCCATTCTTGAGATTCTTCACTTAGTAGAATGGGTTCCAGCTCTATCCAGGAATATTCAAAAGGTGCTAGATCACCATTGTTTCTTAAAGCTGAGTAGTACTCCATGATATACATATACCACATTTTATTAATCCACTCATGAATTGATAGGCACTTGGGTTATTTCCACAGCTTTGCAATTGTGAATTGTGCTGCTATAAACATTCGAGTACAGGTATCTTATGACCTCACTTTACCTAACATCATAATGTAATCAGTAGAACAAATAAAGCCAAAAGGGAAGATTGAGAGCCAAGAGGAATTCGTTACTAATGTGTGTGAGATTTCTTGAAAGATTTTTGTTTTCCATTTTTTCCTAATTCATGTTCATTAGGAAAAGTCAGGAAGCATTACTGTGCAGAAAAAGAGGAGTCACCTATAGTTCTGTGACCCATCAGTGATTCCTGATAAAATTCTGTTTTAAATTCTTACAAACCCTTTACTTTCATATCTTTTTAAAAACTAAACTGAGATTTTTATTATGTATATATGAATTATGTTTCCTTGTTTTATAATCCTATCATCATATGTTTGTTCAAACTTCAAAACATTTAAAAAATTCCTGCCTTGAAGTTTGGAAGGCTCTGTACTCACTAGTAGGAGGGGTATAATGAGAAAAGCATTGTGTACCACACTTATCGTCAGGGAATGCTAAAGCTTTGAAAATACATAAATTTGATTATTTTTATATCTGAATAAATTGGGCAGTTATATGTAAGTTTTTGTGGTTTTAGTGTGTTGCTTTAATTTAGGATTTGGATTATCAATTTAAAGAAATACCCTAGAAATGGCGAAATGTTACTTTCGCCAGATAAAAATATCTGCTAGTTCATGTCTTTTTATCTGGAAAACCACTCTTATTTCTTCAGAACAAATTATTATAAAACTAAATTTTACTCTGTATTATTTAGAATATTTTAAAGTATACTTCTGTTTGTTTGCCTTGGTAATTTTAATTGGTAATTTTTAACCTAGTAATTTTAAACATTTACTGAGATGATTATGTTTTAATTATTCTTTGCGGTGATGTGAATTAGGAATAATGCAAGATATCTTTGGAAAAGAATACCGCCTGCTATAAAATCTGTAAGTATTCTTTCAATACATTTTACTGCTTTAATATAGTAATGACATTCACTTAAATGGCAGCCTTTTAAAAGTTCCTGTTTTCTTTCCCATGTCTCAAAAATAGCCATTAAACTGGCATTAAGTATAAGATCTTCAAATCCCTCTAATCAGAAATTTTAATTTTCTTGGGATGGTGTAGAAATCTGCTCACCTCCTATTTATCAGATTTCTCAAGACATTTCTTACAAGCGCAGCTTCACCAGTTAAACAGCTAGGCTAATTTAGGTCAAGGAGGGTGCTGGCAGTAGCAGCAGTGGTGATTTTCAACTGATTTATGCTGTTCCGTATAACGGTACTTATTTTGAAACTGGTATTGTTTTATGAGAATATTCTAAAAATGATCATAGCATTAAGATTATTTTTGCTAATTAGAATTTTAGATTTCTTATTGTGATTGGGAGATTAGATGAAATAACCTATAAAAAGTTCCTTCCAAAGTAAAATGAAGTAAATTTGTAATTGCAGGTGGTTCATTGTACCTAATATGAGTGTGCAGTGAGTTTTTCATCGTTCTCAGACCATTACCAAGAATTCATCTAAACTCTTGTTCGTTGTTGGTATTTAGCAGATCAGATTAGTATTTTTATTTTCTCCTTTCCTAGATAGTCTATTAAGTAAGATTGGAATATTGCTTAGCTTCTTTGTTTAAATAGTTATAAATTTTTATATATATAAAAAATATATAAAAATTATCACTTTCAATGATATTAGTGGAAACTCTACCCTTAGAGAAGCTACAGTGTGTGACATCTTAGGGTGACGGTCTCAATTGTTAACCATTTTGCTATTTCTTTGTCCTAAGTATATACATCTTTAAAAATAATGATGCTTAAGATAATTAGTCCCTAGGCTTAGTTCTAAAATATTTTTGGACTACTTTCTCAAGTTTTAATTTTCTATTTTAATAAAAATTTATAACAGACCTGTAACTCAATTTTACATTACTGCTCACAGTGTTTAGAAACCTTTTTTATAGTGATTGGGCTGAAAAGTAATTGTATCTCTTAAAAGAAATGTTGAATTATGTTTTGATGATACAGCTAGCAAGCTTTATATCATTTCTGGTATTTTAAGATAAAGCCGTTGGTAAATTTGAAGAGTGAGTACCCTCAAAGGCAACAATATTTATTGCAGGCAAATTCTGAACTTGGAGGAATTTGGTCAGTAGGACAAAGAATCTGGCAGAGAGATTTCCCTGGGATCTATACGACCATCAATGCTCACCAGTGGTCTGAGACAGTCCAGCCGATCATGGAAGCACTTAGAGGTAGTTTTTCTTTATGATCAAAAATTAAATTAGACTAGAGCTGTTCCCTAAGTGCTGCAGTGCTGAAGTAAGTCAATGGTGTGTTCAAAAGGCAGATGTTTTTGATAGATGAATGATGCAGTTTTCAGAATTCTTTTTTTAGATTTGCTCTACTTGCACTTCATTTTATATTGATCGAGGTTATATTGGCAGCTAATAGCCTCATTGTTTCTTAATTCCAGATTAAAATTGCTCTTGTCAGTAAAAGTTTTTTGATATTAAAATAAAATACTGTAATACTCTAATGAGTTCAAGGTATGGGTTGGTAAAAGTTATAAAAATTTATGTATTTGAAAGTAGAGAGTACACTTTGAACTATGTCAGCTTCAGCCTTTGATAGGTGTTATCTCCAGTTTCTGGATTTTATAACTAATTTATTAAATACTTAGATGCTCAAACATGTTTTGTTGTTGTTGTTGTTTTAATGTCTTTAGCATTAGAGGTACCGCACTGAATCAAATGTGTTTTTAACTGTTTTGAAAGATTACACCCTGGTGCAACATAATACTAATCCCGCAGTAAAATCCCATCCCTGGCCTCTCTCCATTCTCCTACTCCTGACATTTGCTTCCTGTCTTCCTGGTTTACTCTTTTATAAATTCATTCAGTGATCTCTTTTTGTATTTCTATGTCCTTATTTCTTAGTGTGTTACCTTGCTTCTATAGCTAATACTTTTCAGTGTACACCTTCCTGCTCTGGAGGAGTCGGTGAGCAGGCATTTTTTAATAAGCACTCATCACTCTGGTAAGGGATATCAGCTTTAAAAATAAAAAGCACTTCATCTATAAAAAAAAAAAAGGGTAGCAGATGGTAAAGATTGTTGTTGAGATGCATGTAATTCCCTTGAAGTGGTAAAACTGTATCAGCATAAAACAGAACAATGTCAGTGACACAACAGGTGGCAGCTACTGTAAATGTGAGTGAAATGAGCAGAATTGCAGGACAGGCAGGTGGGTGGGAAGAAAGGAGTGTGCTGTACATAGGTACAGCAGGGGCAGTTTTAGAAGTTAGCACAGGAAACAGCCTTAACCTTGTGCAACCCCTGAGGAAGTGGTGTGGTGGTGAACTTTCATGGTATCTAGTTCAGCCTTGTGACTGTGGTGGTGGGGACACAGGCCGTGTGCCTTTCCCAGCATCGTACAGCAGGTTCATCGGCAGGCCCAGGGCTCCCTACTGGTTCAGCACGTGTTCCCTGCATACCTTGCATCTGTGGTTGTGTTCCTTGTCAGCCACGCCTCACCCTGGATTCTCCATTAGACTGAGAATTCCTTGAAAACAGTTCCATAGAGCTACGAAAGGCTGTACATGGGGTTTTTTACCCTGGAGCCAGGCTTCCAGAGTGCACATCCTGGTTCTGTCACTTAACTGGAGTGAATCCTCAGCGCCTCATTTCCCTCATTTGTGAGATACAATTAGACATAGTACTTTCCTCAGGTTGTATTAGTATCTATAGGCACTTACCTTGTTCTAACGCTCTTGTATGCATCTACAATATTCATGAGTATGTCCTGAGGCTTTTACAAATCCCCAGATTCATGAAGGGTACGGAGTTTTCTTCCATAAAACATAGTACCCTACCTAGTGAAGGTAGTCTCACAACAAAGTTGAATTGCTACTGGATTTAATATTTTGCTTATTAACATAGTATAAACTTGTTTTCTAGTTAAGAACAACTACTTTCTTAAATCTCCTTCCATTCTGTTCTGAATTGGGCACAGTCCTATTAGAAAACTGAAAATAGCTTAACTGAAGAGGGGCCAGTGAAAGACCTATTTACACAGGAACCCAGTAAGGACGGTGAAGCACGCAGGGACTAGCTGTAGACAGTAGGCACTCTCACCTGGGGCCTGAAGGGGTAAGGCGAGGCCCCAGTGTGACTGGACCCCTGGAAAAGGAGCTGTGGCTGCAGAAGCTCAGCCGGAGGAAGGCAGGAGGGGCAGAGGAGATAAATCTTCTGACCTTCCCTCTGGCCTCTGACCTCCTGGTGGAGCCCCCATCCCCCAAAGCAGGGGAGCTCAGGTGCCACAGGTGTACAGCACTCTGGGAAGGGCAGAGGCAGGTTGGAAAGGATGGGACAATGACTGGCTCTGCTTCCCTTCTGTCTCCTGCACTGGCAGTGATGGGTGAGAGGCACTCGAGTTTTTGTGGAACAACTGAATTTGCATTCTGTTAGGATCTCTGTTTTCACCAAAAATGTGTCCTATGAAAGGTCCACAGATGTTAGGTACTAGCTCAATTTATTCTACCTTCCAGCATGTCGTTGTAATGCATGCCTTCATGAGGTTCCAAATCTCATAGCTCTTGAGGGTCACATGGTGACCGGTCGGAACGTAGATGTGGTGAAAAGCAGCCTGCATGTTGCAGCTTTAACTGAAACTAGGAGCACTTAGCCTTTATTTTTACTTTTTTTGTCAACTTACTTTTCCTTCCCCTTGTATGTTTTTCTTCCCTTTTCCAATTATGTAGCTCTTTTTGCTTTTCTTCTCCCCTTCCTTCTGTTTATCTCTTCTATTCATACTCTGTTCTTGTTCTATTCCCTACTCTAAAAGTCTAACCAGAATATTCGACTTAAAGTAAATATTTTGTGGTGTTTTTTTTTTTGAGATAGAGTCTCACTTTGTTGCCTGGGCTAGAGTGCCATGGTACCACGGTAGCCTAGGTCACAGCAACCTCAAACTCCCAGCCTCAAGTGATCCTTCTGCCTCAGCCTCCCGAGTAGCTGAGACTACAGACAGGCATGTGCCACCATGCCCGGCTAATTTTTTTCTGTTTTTGGTAGAGACGGGGTCTTGTTCTTGCTCAGGCTGGTCTCGAACTCCTGAGCTCAAACGATCCACCTGCCTCAGCCTCCCAGAGTGCTAGGATTACAGGCATGAGTCACCGCGCCCGGCATAAAGTAAATGTTTTTAAAATATGACAGGCTCACCAAATGAATACAGTTTTATGTTGTATATTTTTATTTTTCTACGGAGACTCCCAAATAAAACTATGTTCCTTTCCCATTGTTGCCTCAGTTCTTTCCCATTGAATGTCTATAGCCTTTAATAGAAAGTATTTTTATTTCTGAGGTGTTTTAAAATCTGTTTAAGTTATTTGCTAGAGGTTGGTTAAAAGGAGGAATTGAATGTAAGACATATTGGGAAGAACAGATGATGGCTCAGTGAAAGCTGGAGAGGATGAAGTGAAGGAATGTGGCTGTCGGCAACTATTAAGATATGAGCAAACAAGCCTAAGTCTAGAGTCATGCCCCGTTTTGGTGCTGGTGATACCATCAACAAGCACATGTTCAACACACACATCACTGGAGATGCTAGGTGCTCTGGAGGATAAAAAGATACAGGCAATAACCCTACTGTCCAGACGTTTGGAATACGGTTGAGAAGATGGGGGTGGGCAGGACAGTGTATATGCCATGGCATACATTGGTATAAGTGGTAAGAGATTGCTTGTTAAAGGAGAAGTGTGAACAGTAATGCCATGAGTTTAGAGAAGGGCAGAGATCGTAGTGAGTTATAGACAGACCTAGGAATGGTAGCAGGTAGAAGGGCATTTCAGGCTGTACAACAGCATAAACCAAAAGCCAGGACTAAGAAGGTATAGAACTTGTCTGAGAGCCAGTGGGTTTGTTTGGAGCCAAGGGTGTCTAAGGGAATTGATGTAGTTGTTTGACGATGTCCCAGGAATGGAGAGGGGATTTTCGATATATTACAGGGTTTGTTTTATATGTGTACAGTTGCCTATTAAATATGGAGAGAAATATTTCCTAAGCATGTTGACAGCCGGTGGAAGAGCTGGGCTGGGCGGGGAGATAGGCCAGCTGCCTGCTGCAGGGCTCAACTCTGTCTCAGTCCTAAATTTATTTACTGTGGCTATGGAAGCCTGGGAACAATCCCAGATGCCATTTCTCAGGAAGGGTTTTCGTTGCTGGTATTGTTTGGTAGTCCTTCATTAGACATTTTTTTCATTCATTCAGGGCTGGAATTTGGAATTTTGAACCTGAATGAAGTCAGTAGTTTGATGCAGACTTGAAAGTTAGGAAGAGTGCTCTAGTTACAAGGTCCATCCTACAACTCCCAGATATGGTCCTGTATCAGAACCTTCTGAGAAGGTTACGCAAATAACTTTTCTGCCCATTCATTCCAGTGTTTGTAAGTGAAATAAAAAAGAATAAAAAATAAAATTTACATCCCTTTTACATAAACATTTAAATTTTCTTAGAGTTTGAATCTTATGTTTATTAACTTCTTTCCATCTTTGTAGTTTTCATTGTCATCTGAGATTTTTCATCTAAGAGGAAGAGTAAAAAGTGTATTTGTTTATTTAGCAATATTTGAGCCCCTTCTTACATGCTGGGCACATGTATCTGTAACTATGAGCGCAGAAATCTTGGGATTGATCTTGTCTTGCGTCCAAAAATTGGACAAGGACAATCATGTGGTTGAACATTGTGTTTTAAATCTCTGCTCTTTCGGTTCTCTCTCTGCCAACCCTCTGCTCCCACGGTAGATGCAACAAGGAGACGAGCCTTCGCCCTGGTCTCTCAAGCGTATACCTCCATAATCGCTGATGATTTCGCAGCCTTTGTTGGACTTCCTGTTGAAGAGGCTGTGAAAGGTATTTTTGGCTTACCTTTACTTACAAAAAAAATGGAAAATAGAAGTATGAATTATAGGGTCACAGTCTCTTCTCTTGGAAACAGGATATGTTTTTGGAATCTTGGTTGTGTTTTTTAGAAAGGTTTATTTCTAAAAATAATTTTATTACACAACACCCCCAGCAGGGTTTTGGACAACGATCACCTTGTAATCAAGCACATTAGTAGTTCTGCAGCAAGCAAATATGTGAATATCTGCATAGTTGGCTAAGAAAATACATCTTAGTTGACCTCCTTGTTCATGTTTGGAAGTCCTTATTTCACCCTTCCTTTTTAAAGGCAGTCATCCGTGTTTCTCTCAGCCCATTTTTTTTCTGCCATTTCTGACCTGTACCCTAGGTGCTTGCTCCCTACTCTTACCCACTGGTCTCCACACGTGCGCTTGCATTTTTATTTCTCAGGTGATGCCCAGACTCATCCCTCTACTTGTTAGTTGCTATAAAATATTGCATATACCTGTTGAACTGTTTTAACCATGATTGACATTTTTGGTTCTCTAGCTAAAACATGAACTCAATCAAGCACCGTATCTTAAATTTCCAGGGCCTAGCACAATTCTAGACACATAGAGGACAGGTTAATGAAAGTTCTTATATTAAATCCTATTGTTACTTATTTATACTAACATTTATTTGTTTTGGCTCTTCTCTTAAAATTGATCCATAATTTATTATCCAATGTCTAACATACTCCAGAGCCCATACTCTTAGCTGACTGCCTGGGTGTGAATCCGGCTACCACACTGTGCCCCATGCTAGTAACTATGTGACCTAAGACAAATCACTTGAATTTCTTAAACTTTTCATTTTCCACACCTGTTAAATGATGGCTATATATCCCACTTCACAGAGTTGTGTCAGTTATATAAAATCATCCCTATAAAAGTGCCTAGTGTGATAGCTACTGGTAAACCTTATGTATATGAAAGATGTTTTTGTCAGTCACCATCATCTTTGTTATTACTGGTAAGATTACAAAAGGTACCATGTAAGTTTTCTTTATGTTTGTTTTTAATAATATTGAATAGGTTAATACTATAATGTATACTTTATAGAAAACCATCTGTTAGTGATTATAACAGCCTAATAGAATAAAGTGGGGCTTTGATATATGTTTCAGAAATATTTCAAATATAAGCTTACATGTTCTCTATAGCATTCCTTTCAAGTAAAAATGCACATGACATGTAAAACTAAATATGTCAGGTCTTCCATACATGTAATGTCATGGACAGATTGTGGATTGTGTTGGATGTTTTTGTTATTTCTTAATCTGTATGTGAAATACACGTTTTTAGGTATATTAGAACAAGGATGGCAAGCAGACTCCACCACAAGAATGGTTCTGCCTAGAAAGCCAGGTAGGTGGAGCTCTTTACCCATTTGTGTATTATTGAACTCTTCTAAGACTGCTTCAGGTTTTCAGACTTGGAATTTGAATAATTTGTTATAAAATTCTGCTATACTAACAGAATGGAAATAACTCACATTTAAATATAGATATAGGGTGGTATACACTTAGGGTACAAAAGATCTTAAATATCACCTACTTTTAAATTTTTAAAAATGTATTTCTTATATAAAAGACTGTTTTATATAGGTGTTTTATGGTCTTTATTACAGCTTAATTTCTAAATATTAATCTCCCATCCTTTTATTTATAGAGACATTTCGAGCTATGTTTATCTTTAATATGTAAACTATTGCCTTTTTTTTTTAATTAAATATTCGGCCGCTGCTTCCCCTTTCTCCTTGTACTCAGATCACACAAACTCTTCTCCTATGGCTTTCACTTTCACAAAGTTAACTTCTCTAGCCTTCCTTTTAAGGTCTTAAGTTCTGTGACCTGTCAGTATCTTACGCTGAATTCCCAGCCCCTCATTCTTACTCTCTGAAGTCACCATGCTCTTCCTGCCTGGTGGTTTCTCTTCTTTTCTGTGTCCTTTTCTGCCAGGTGTTTAGAGCCGAGCTTCATGCCCTCCTCCATAAACCCTCCTGCATCTACATCAACCCAATTTTCTTCCACCTACTCTTAATGTCTGTTGATTGGACATTGTTGAGCACACAGTATAAAGCATTACACAGATCTCAATTGCTCAGCCCTATGAGGGTACAAAGAGGGTAAGACATGGTCTCACCCAATCTAGAAGGTGAAGGAACACTAGTACAATGCAAACTATTAAAATAGAGCAAAATTGTTTTCCCTATAAGGGAAATAAATGACCATAAGTACTTAGTGCATTAAAAATAGAATGTTTTATGACAGGTTTTTACAATGACATCTACATATTGGGCTGTAATTTTTTTTTTTTTTTTTACTATAGTTGCAGGGGCCCTGGATGTTTCCTTTAACAAGTTTATTCCCTTATCAGGTATGTATTTTCACATGCACATTTACAAATGTGTCATTCCTAATTTTTTGTGTGTGTGGTGTGTATGTTTCTTTAATTCTAACCTTGTAAACTAATAGATTAAACTTTATAAATTTATAGTAACACATAGGGTTATGAGAGTGAAACTCTGGGCTCTCCCCTGTAGCTTACCGTGAGGTGGTGGCAACTCCTGGCTCAGCTGCACAGCCTTCTTACTGTCATATGGAGGAGTCATGTAGAGGAGTTGATGGAGCTTCTCACCAGCATTTTTATTCAAAAGGCATTCCGTAGGCTGACATGTGGAAACTGGAATGTTAGACTGAATTCCTTGAGGATGGAATTCTTTTATTGTTCATTAACAGTTTAATATTCTTCTATAGCAATGCTTAGCACAAGGGAGGCACTCAGAAGTTATTTATTGAATTAAATGTCACATGGGTAGAAATGTGTCCAAGAAGAGCGTTATCTCTTAAAAGAGTTGTTGCACGCTTGAAGTGTTCATAGCCTTCACATAGAATACTTCAGTGACAACAACAGTACAAGATGTGCCTTTACTCCCAGTTAGGGAAAACTATACTTATAAAGTTGTGATTTCTTAGCTTGCTTTTCAGAAGTATCCATGCCCCTAAGAGGCATCATTTTGTCTAAATTCAGGACAATTCTAAAAGTTTCCTTATTAAAATTAAAGGCATTGGTAGGGGTGGGTGGGAGGGGCAAAGCTTTGTTACTATGGTGTCTAACTTGAAGTATGTTTCTCTCTTTAACACGTAGAGCCTGCCCCAGTTCCCCCAATCCCCAATGAACAGCAGTTAGCCAGACTGACCGATTATGTGGCTTTCCTTGAAAACTGATCTATCACCCTGAGTTCAAGATCTACCTTCAGAATCCTGTGTACTGACAAATGTAGAAATGTAAAATTTTTATTTTCAATTTATTGGATGGATGAAGCACCTCAGCATTCCTTACTGATTATGTGATAAAATACATATATAATATAAAGTATATCTATTTTGTCCTTAAACATGCTGAATGGTTGTTGAAACAACTCTCATTTTGTAATATTTAACAATCTGGATGGAGCTTGTCAGTATTATGTGGTTAGTTCATATTTCCTAGTGACTTATAAAATAAGATCTCCTACTCCATGTAGACCAGTGGTTGTCAACTGTCTTTCCCCTGCCCCAGCACATGCCACACTCCCACCTGTACCACTGGTTCACAGGTGTAGTGATTGCTTTGGAGTTTGAGGAGAACTGTCCCCAGGGGCAAGGTCTGAATTGCTAAGGATTATGAGTCACCATCTTTGAAGAACATGCTCTCTTTTCTCCTCACCTCCTGTGAATCACTAATGTAGAATACAGAAAGATAGCTGAGGAGCAAATAGATCATTTCCATAGTAAACCAGTTTGTTAACTTTACATTTTTTCCGATAGCGTGAGTACATCCATTGCTGGCAGTGGAAGACTTGCCATGAAAATGCAACTTATTTAAGATATTCAAGAGAAGTATTAAGTTGTAGCTCCTTTCAAAAGAAGGGAGAAGTGCAGAATGTACTATAGGGGAAAAGAAGCTATAAGACAAGCGACACTCTTTGTACAATTACCTTGCAGCCTGCTGGTCGCTTGTGTTTATCCCTTGGTTCAAGTTCTGCCCTTTGGAGAAATACTAAACAAGTCTTTCATTCTTTGTGTGACAGCCTTTGAATATTTAAAGTTGTTTGTTGTATCTTCAGCTTAAAATGCCCCTTAGTTCATTTATTCTGCATTTGTTCAATAAATATTTAAGTGAATTCTTCAACTGTTTCATCTAAGGTAGTTTCTAGAAATTTCACTATCATGGCCTTTCTGTGGACACATTCTGGTTTGTCATTGCCTCAAAATATGAATTTCTTAATTAAATAGAAATGACCTATATAGTGAATCTATATAGTGATAATTATGTAATTCATGTTTTCACTCAATTTAACTACATTTTATTGGCTATTTCAATTATTCTTAACATACATGGAAATACATTTTAAATTGCAATTTTATTTAACCCTGACAGGCAAGTCATGTTAAAACTTGTTTTACAGTTGTGGAAATGGAAATTCAGGAAGTCAGATGATCAGTAATAAGACAGTAATAATGCCAGTTTTTTTAACTTCCAGGTATTAAGTAAAAATTGTGCCCATAGTTCTTGTTTTTAATAGCAGATTAGAATCAACTCAAATGTTCATCAATAGGGGATTGGTTGAATAAACAACACTATAGACTTTGCAGTTGTAAAAGGAGTGAAGATCTCTATACACTAAAATGGAATGCTCCAGAGTGAAAACAAAGTACAAGGAGTTTATACTGTTACTTGGAGAATAACAAAGGGAGAATTGTCATGGTGTGTATACATACACATTCACTTATATTTCAAAAAGAAACAATTGAAGGATAAACCAAAAATGAATAAAAATGGTTCTCTAAAGGGGAAGGAGAGGACAGTGAGCTACAACATAGAGAAAAAAGAATTATCTGAAGTGACTCAAACACAGTATTTTGAGTCTACTTTGTCACACCCATTAGCCGACTTTGTGCCCTGGCTACTTCTGAGACAACCAGCTGCATGCAGGTGTAGCCTGACAACACCCTGCTTTAGATCCATTAAATGCCTCCACCTTTTTGCTCTGGGGCTTAACCTGGCACTTAGACCAGGATGCCCACACAAACCTGGGTAAGAGGAGTTAGCCCCTTGGGCAACCCTTCAGCAGGTGGGGACATGACATGGTGAATAAACACTCCCTTGTCTTGGGGCAGACTATCCCAAGTATGGTCCGTAACCTGATTCTTGAAAAGGATCACAACAAGTTCGAGCTGTGGTTTCCCATGGCAGCCAGCTCTACAATTCAGCCTTGGATTGCTTTTTCCTTCTTCCTTGTCTCACTCTTCCCAGTTCCCCTTCTCTTGTTCGCTGAGATCAAGAGAAGTGATACATCTACATTTCTAAATGCAGTCCTGTCCCAGGTTCTGGGGGGGGCGGGGGCAGTGAGGGAGGACAAGTCAAAGGAAAATTTATGTTACATGAATCAGGCTGAAAGCACCTAAATCTATTTATTATTAATAAACAAGTCTGATACAAAAGTATAGTGAGCATGCAGCATCAACCAACAAGTTTTCTTGTCCAAAAAAGCATTACATATATGAATATAATCCAAGTTTTAGATCTAACTGCTTGTTTACATAAAGTATGAGAATTAGTGGAACAGATCAAATACTCTAAGAAGTGATCAGCCAATTCCAAACAAGTCAAACACCCTAAGAAATAGCCAATTCCAATACATGGGGAACTTAACAGAACAAATTAATGGGTTTCTTCAAAAATAAAAAAGGGCAGAGGATAATGGAGGCAGAGGGTGGTGTTGAGTAGGTGAAAATTTCTGCTCCTGCATCGAAGTACCTTGAGGCCAACTCACAGCTTTGCTAAGAACTACAAGAGATGGATACATACAGTATTTAAAGGCATGAGCCCCTAAAGCAGTGAGGAGTAGAGGAGCTAAGATTTGAGTGGAAGATTCCAAAGAAGTCATCTGCAGTAACTCTTAAGGGAGCATTTGCTGATTCTGAGCACAGCAGGGTTTAGGCTTTGACTGGGCAGGGTTCCACTGCTGGGAAAACTAGCAACCTCCGGAATTTGGGCACTTCCACAGGGCTGGGTTGATAATCATAGAGACTCAAGAGGGCTGAACACTATACTGCTTGTCCTTCAAGACATTTGGTGAACTTTTAAGCTGCTTGCTTGGGGTAGGAGGCCAAAAAGTCAAGTCAAACCCTTTGAACAACAGCTTAGTTTTCCTGAAGTCTTGCTGCATTGGGCTCTACTCAGGAGCAAGGCTGAGGGTAGAGGGAGCTGCTCGTAAGTGCAGACCAGAGGTAAAACTTTAGTGAAACTGCTACTGGGAAATAGGTCAGTGTAAAATACTCAAACTGAAGCGTAGAAAGAAAATAATAGGACTTAACTGGAAAGAGCGTGGGAGACGTGCGGTACACAGCAAAGAGATCTACCATGTGTGTAATTGAAATCCAAGGAGGAGAAAGAAAATAGAGCAGAAAAACAAAACTCTTGGAACTCAGGTGCAGAATTTTCCAAAACTGATGAAAGAGATCAAGCCACAAATTCAAAAAAACCTCAGAAAACTCCACAGATGATAAATGCAAAGAAAACCACACCCTGACACACCATAATAAAACTAATGAAAACCGAAGGCAAAATATATTAAAAGTACAGAGGGAGGGTCAGGAGAGGACAGTTATCTTCAAAGGAGCAGCAATAAAGCCACACAGTGAATTTGCATTTTTAACGTGTTTAAAGAAAAAACTCTTAATTCTGCTGTTGACAAGAGATACACTTTCAATGTTCCTGTGTTGTTAAATTTAAAAGTTGGAAAAACATATGCTGATGCAAATACCAAAAGAAAGCTGGTGCAGCTTTGGTAATACTGTCAGCCCTCCATGTCCTCAGGTTCCATATCCATGATTCAACTGAGGATCAGAAGTATTCAGGAAAAAAATATTAATACAACAAAAAAGAGATATAGTATAACAACGGTTCACATTGTATTATTATAAATAATCTAGAGTTGATTTCAAGGTTAGGGAGGAAATGTGTAAGTTATTTGCAAATACTATACCATTTTATTTAAGGGACCTGAGCATCCACAGATTTTGGTATCCTGGGGAGTTGTGGACCCAGTCCCACTGGGTACTCAGGGACAACTGTATTAGACAAAGCAGACTTAAAGGCAAGAATAATTATTAGAGATCAAAAATAATTTTTAATGAAAAAAGAGATTGCATTAGTTTCCTATCACTGCTGCTGTAACCAATTACCACAAACTTAATGGCTTAAAACAACACAGATGTATTTTACAGTTCTGCAGTTCAGAAATCCAAAGTGGCTCTCACCAGGCTAATGTCAACAGGGTTGCATTCCCTCTTGGAGGCTAGGTGGGACGAGCTGTTACCTCGCTCTTTCCAGCTTCTGAGGCCAACCGCATTCCTTGGCTCATGGCCTTCTTCCTCTACCTGTAATGCTAGCAACAATGGGTTGTTTTCCTCCTTTTGCTATCTCTTCGGTTCTCTTTTCTGCTACCCTCTTCCACCTTTAAGGATCACTGTGACTACACTGTGCCCACCTAGAAATTCAAGGTAATCATACTATTTTAAGATGAGATGATTAGCAACCTAATTCTGCCCACAATCTTAATTTCCCTTTCTCATGTAACCTAACATCTTCACAGGTTCCAGGGATTAGGATATGGGACCTCTTTGTGGGTCCATTATTCTACTACAGGGATTAGTCCAACAGGCAATAGGAATATGTAACAATTCTAAATTTATATTCAAAATACAATCAAGTGGAAGTTGTGAAGAGTAGTTTGTTGAAAAAGGCCTGGCACCTCTCCCCCCTCTCTCTTGCCTCCTCACTCCCCTTGTGATAGGTACACACCAGCTGCCCTTCCCCTTCCACCATGAGTGGAAGCAGCCTGAATCCCTTGCCAGAAGAAGATGCTGTAGCATATAATACAATGTTGAGTGATAAAAGTCAGACAAAAAGATGATACTATATGATTCCATGTATGAGTGTGTGTGTATAATAGAACTAAAATGTAGTGGTGTAAGTCAAAATAGTGTATAGTATTTTGGAGGTAGTGACTGGCAGGGGCACAAGCACTTTCTGCTTCTTGACCTGTTTGTTATGTTCCCTTTTTGAAGGTTAATTGAGCTGTAACTTTGTGAGACCTGCACTTATATGTAACATAATATACTATATATCAGTAGACGGTTTATTTAAAAGAGGAACTGCTCGTACAGTAAAACCAGGTGTTTAAGATATAAATTAACCTGCAGAAATAAATAGCCTTCATTTATATAAACAACTAATAGTGTTAGGTGTTACAAAGATAAAGAAAACTTCATTTGCAATAGAAACAATGGAGATAAATTGCCTCAGAAAATAAATTTTGAAAGAAATGTGTAAAACTCGTGAGAAAAAATTTTAAATCCTCCTGAAAGAGACCACTTGATAAAAAGGAAAGACAGTGCTATTCGAACACAAAAAATACCTTCTTAAGAGGTAAGGAGACCAGGTGACAGATCACAGTACTTGGTTTTAGCGTAATAAGAAAAGATGCATGGAAGAGGATAGAAAGGAGAGCTTCACACTGTCCATGTCACCTCTCCCCCAATTGCAGGCAGCACAGCACAGAGAGACATTGTCTGCTTCGGGGAAGGAGAAGGAAGTAAGCATAGGACTTTTCCTTGGAACTCAGTACTAGAACTGCCACAGCAATACTCAAGTACTAGGCAAAACTCCCTGGCCCCATGAAGATGGACTCAAGTTCTGGTCCACATCATCACTAGCCAACTACAGAACCCTCAGACCCTGAATGAACCTCAGTGGCAGGCAGGCCATAGTGGCTGTGAACCTTGGGTACACCCCAGCAATGTGCTATCTTAGCAGCCATGGGCTTTGGGTACAACCCAGCACTGCTTCAGCCTTGGTGGCCATGGGATACGAGTCATGGTGGTCCTTGGCTTAGGAAGCCTCCTAGTGTTTCAGTGGCTGAAGCAGTCATGGGCTTAGGGACCTCACTAGTAGACCAGCCCTAAATCTCTGGACAGGCCTACTGTTGAAGGATACTCCCAAAAGAAGTACTACTGTGAAGACAGGATTATATACCTACTTCAATGTGCAGACATCAATAAAGGATAGAGAACAATCAGGGAAACATGATATTATCAGACAAAATAAGGTGCCAGTGACTAGCG